ACAGAGTGAGACTCCAATTCAAAATAAATAAATAAATAAATAAATAAATAAATAAATAAAGCATATTATCTTTTTAAGAACATGGCAACTCAATACCTATACATTAGAAAGCTTTAAATGATATCACTTCTTTTCACAAGCAAGCATGGATAACATGTTTGAAGCTCTGCTTCATGAATATGCTTGGTTTCAGTTACAGCTTTCTTCCTGGCCACCATAATGGGTGTGAGATTTAAGAGGTCCAAGAAAATAATGCCTGCTGGGCTGGTTGCAGGCTTAAGGTAAGAAAAGCAATCTTTATTTATTTATTTTTTTGAGGCAGGATTTATTGAGAGGACAGAAATACTCCCACAGTAGGAGGGGACCCAAAGGGATTGTCCAGAAAAGCCATCTTGATCAATACTTTCCTCTGCTGTCATTTTGAAGTGCTGAATTTGCAGCAAAAAATCAATTTTAATTTGAAAGGTCAAAGTAATTGTATTATAATTAAGCATGACTGTAAGCACCTTAAAATACCATGGATTTTAAATGTAGTCATTTAAATCAAATACTCAGTCTCTTTGAGAGAGTTAGATGGAGTGACAGTGTGATACAGTCATTTTGAGTTTTAAGGGAGAGAAATTTAATATGTTTTAAAAGATAAATAGGGAACCTCAAGTTTCTCTTTATTTGATACAGTGATTCTAGTCATGAGATTAAGCATATTAATAAATAATAATTTAGAATAATTCTTCCTGGAAACTGCCTTCATGTGTTGAAAGCCAAAAACATGTTAATTAATTTCCTTTGATATGCATTTTCACTTTTTGGAATTTATTTCAAAGGAATGAGATCCACACAAAGACTGCTGTTCATTGCAAATTTATTTCTAATGGAAAACATGATAAACTGAAAGATTAGGAATAACCTAAAGGAAATGTAAGGGAGGAAATGTTTGAATAAATATTATGTTCATGTAATAGACTATTAGCAGGTATTGCATTTCATGTTTCAAAAACTAATGGCATTGGAAAATCTTAGTGACATAATAAGAAGCACAATTTAAAAAACCAAATATAGTGTGAACCTAATTTTTAAAAAATGTTTGTGTATAAAAAAACAAAATTGGAAAGAAATAATCTGAAACTTTAGTAGTGTTTTCCTCTGGGTGGTATTGTAATAAATAATTTTAGTGTTCTTTCTGTTTTCTGTAGAATTTGCTAGTGTGGCTATGTATTATGTTTCGGGGGAGGGGAGAGAGAGAGTATTTCCAGTTATTGCCCTGTTCTTGATACTTGGTGGTGGGAAGTAGGATTTACAGATCAAGACAAAGGCCCCAGTCAATAGAAAGTTACTGAGGTTGTGGCCAGGCGCAGTGACTCATGCCTGTAATCCTAGCACTTTGGGAGACTAAGGCAAGAGAATTGCTTGAGCCCAGGATTTGAGACTAGCCTGGGAAACATAGAGAGACCACGTCTGTATGAAAAATAAAATAAATTAAATTAACTGGGCATGGTGGCATGCACCTGTATTCTCAGTTACTTAGGAGGCTAAAGTGGAAGGATCACCGAGCCCAGGAGATCAAGGCTGCATTCATGCCATTGCACTCCAGTTTGGGTGACAGTGAGACTCCAATTCAAAAAAAAAAAAAAAAAAGTAGCTGAGATGATAATAATAATTCCCCCAAATTGCTCCTTGATTTTTTTTCTAAAGTTACACATATTCTGCTAGCGTTTTGAAGTTTGTGTTTCTTCTCAAACCTTTCTCTTATAAGTCCTCATCCCAGCATTTCAGAAGAGGTAGCTCTGATTTTTTTCATTCATTTAGTGAACATTTTTAAGTGGCTAATTCAGTCCTGTCTGTAAGGTTAGACTACAAGGATGACTCTCCAAAGAGCAGAGAGGAGAGTCCTGGAAGCCAATGCCTAGTGACACTACATGTTAGGTGAGCATGTGACTCCTTCTGTGTATGCCAAAGAAAAGTCACCCTCTCTTTGCCTTTCTTTTATTTTAATCCAGCCTCATGATGATCCTGAGACTTGTCTTACTGCTGCTCTGAGCATCCAAAGGAACTGAAAACAAAGCTCATATCATCCTGCTGTAACAGGCACAGCATATTTTTTGTATTTAAAAGATAAATTTCAATATGGGATGTTAAGCGTCTTATGTTAGAATAACAAAAGTAACACTGTCATCTCTACTATGAACACTAGTTTAAGGTCATTTAAAAAATTGTTTTAACCCTTTTCTAGTTGTCAAGCACTGTTTTCATTAAAGGTGTTCAAAGAATCTTGAAACTCTCCTCCATCTGCTGGGTCTATTTTTATATATGTGGTATTTTTGACAATTCCCAATACTCATGTCTCAAGTAAGTGTATATATTATTATTATTATTTTTTTTTTTTTAGTCAGAGTCTCACTCTGTTACCCAGGCTGGAGTGCAATTGAACAATCATGGCTACTGCAGCCTCAACCATCTGAACTCGAATAATCCTCTCACCTCAGCCTTTCAAGTAGCCTTCCATGTGTGGCTAATTTTGATTTATTGTAGAAACAAGGTCTTGCCAAGTTGCCCAGGCTGGTCTTGAGCCCTTAGGCTTAGGCAGTCCTCTCACCTCTGGCTCCCAAAGTGCTGGATTACAGGCATGGGCCACTGCATGTTGCCTCAAGTAAGTTTAAATCAGACAGTGTATCAGATAAAGGAATTCTTTAAGTGGACTACATAGAAAACTAATGTATCTATTTGTCTTTTGTGTTATACTAGAAATTATATTTTTTCCATTTTAATTGTATTGCTGCCAGTATTATTTTTTCCTTTAAAAAAATTTCATCCTCAGCACACTCCGTACCCTTGCAGAATGTATTCAGTTTTCAAATAAAAGACATTTTGTTTTAAATCTGCTTCTTTCATTTTAGAGTCTTTTCTAGATACTCAAATCACCTTTGACATTTAAATGTTCAATTATTAATGAAAAAGGTCGAGAAGAAGGGTTATGTAAGCCAACACTCTATACTTCCTCAGGTGCAGATAATCTCTCTTTTTTTCTGTCTAAAAGTAATAATTCAGAAACAAAAATGATTTTTGTCTCAGATCACGCCATTGTTAGGCATAGTTATAATGTTTAAAGTCCAAGGCACTTTTAGGATCCAGATTGACTATCATGGATGCCCAGGTCTCAGCCCATTTCTTCCACTGACTAGATGAGGGTCATTTCTTCTCTCTGTGACTCAGCTTCTCATCCTTCGGGAGGAATTGAACTAAATGATCGACAATACCTCTTATAGCTCTAAATAAAAATCTGCAATTTCTATCCCGTGTTAAGCAAGATTTTAAACCCTTTCTTTAAATGAAACTGTGGGTAGTGCCCTCAACTGATAACAGAGTTGCGAAGACCATAATTATGAACTTCGCAGCAACTTGGATGGACTTAGAGTCTGTTATACTCAGTGATCTATCACAGAAACAAAGAACTGAATGCCACATGTTCTCACTTATAAGTGGGTCCTGAACATTTATCACAATACTACAAGAGAGGCATGGACAGTAGTGGGACACTGCTGGGGAGGGGGGAGCACATAACATCACTAAGGGTGCCTGATTCTAAATTAGGAGAAGTGAGGACCAGTGGAAGGCCCAAACTTCACCTGCTCGTAGACCACTTATGTACCTAATCCTGACTTGCATCCCACATTTTTAAATTAAAATAAAGGGGAAAACAGCAGAGTTGATATGGTTGTGTTAGGTTGGTTACCTTTCCCAACTGACTTTCTAGAAAGTTGTTGAACTTTCGGTGATAAGTAATCCAATTAACAGTAGAGAAAAAAAACAAAACAAAAAAAACCCTACTAGTTGAACCAAATAGGAAACCCAGACAAAATTCTGTAATATACTTTTTAAAATCCCACTTTAAAAAAGAAAAAAAAAAACCTCACAAATTCTAATGTTCAAGGCTGAAAAAAGCTGTCATCATGGGATGCTCTGCCTCCTTCCCAGCTGACTAAGAAGAGTGTTCAGATTCGGACTGCCAACAACTTGAACGATGATCATGATACTGAAGTAGAAACTAAACATGAAATTGATCACAGAAATATATGCCATATCTGTAAATTACTCCAGTGATTTAAAGTTTCAGAAACTAGTTTGAAGCTGTGTTCCTTCCTGGACTTTTTCCAAAAGGTAGTAGAAATGAGTGATAGTGATGGATGTAGTTTTTTGCTGTGGTTTGTTTCTTAAAGAAATATTTGACATCCATTTACTTACTTGTGATTTTACTATTTTGTGATATGCAGAAGAATTCATCTTTGGATGAGTCTGAATAATTAGTGTTTTACTATCTCCTGAAAAATAGAGGGCAACCCCCTCAGGTCCCCTCCCACTGTGGGAGCTTTTCTGTCCTCTCAATAAACCCTGCTTTCTCAAAAAAGAAAAGAAAAAAGAAAAGTGTTCTCTAACTTATACATAGGTATTAGGTAGTTTATTTCCTTATATTTTTATTACTATCATTATTTTATTAACATGACTTATGGTATTTTTCTTGGCCCTGCTACTAATGTAGAGTGAAATACTTATTCAATTCCTTAGACCTCTTCGTTTGTTAATACTCAGTTACCATAGTGCTCATGTTTTGTTTTTTTTTGAGTTGGAGTCTCATTCTGTCGCCCAGACTGGAGTACAGTGGCACACTCCCGGTCACCACAGCCTCGGCCTGCTGGGCTCCGGCGATCCTTCCGCCTCAGCCTTCTAAGTAGCCAGAACTTCAGGCACGTACTACCATGCCTGGCTAATTTTTGATTTATTGTAGAGACGTGGTCTCGCCAAATTGCCTGGGTGAGTCTGGAACTCACGGGCTCAGGCAATCCACCTACCTCGGCCTCCCGAAGTGCTGGGATTACAGGCTGAGCCACCGAGCCCGGCCAGTGCTCGTGTTTTAAAGAAAAATGCCATGTTCAAATTTGAATACGTTCTTCATGGTCTCAATGTCCTCTTTCTCCAGGGGAGGCTTTGAGTCAAAATGGGTTGAAAATGTAAGATTGGAGTAGGTGGTCACTCATGTATGTTCTAGGTCTAAAACTTTATGATGTTATGATCCTTGGGCATGAGATCTGGAGTTAGAGAGATCTGAGTACAGGGTTCAACTTCATGAGTTGTATGACACTGGGCAAGTTACTCCATGTCTTTAAGCTGTGGTAGCCTTATTTATCAAAGGGGATAACAATAGTACCTCTTTAGTGGAGTTATTGTGATAATTAAGTGGGATAATGCATGCAAATAAACAGCAATGGGCCAGGTGTGGTGGCTCTTGCCTGTAATCTCAGCACTCTGGGAGGCTGAGGTGGGAAAATTGCTTGAGCCCAGGAGTTCAAGACCAGACTAGGCAACATAGCAAGACCTCATCTCTAAAAATAATAATAATAATAATTAGCCAGTGTGGTGCTATGTGCCTGTAGTCCCAGCTACTTGGGAGTCTGAGGCAGAAGGGTCACCTGAGCCCAGGAGGTTGAGGGTACTGTGAGCCATGATTGTGCCAGTGCACTCCAGCCTGGGCAACAGAGTGAGACTCCAACTCAAAAGATAAATAAATATCTTATAAATAAATATAAATAAATAGCAACAGTGCCTGACACTCAGTAGAGATGAGCCATAATATAAGCACTGTTGCTAGTAATGTTATCATTACTAATTCTAGCCTTAAAAGAAGTCTCTGTACTTTATAGTATCATATGACAAAAAAACTCAGTCATTAGGAATAGTGGTGTTAAACAGCCATTCTGTTGTCCATATATATAAAACTGCAAGATAAAAATATCTTAAATTATATGCTGATTACAAAGGAATGTATTACCTTTTACATACTTCTGAATAAAATGATATTGAGAAGTCATGGGGTATAGAATATTCACAGTCTGATCCAGCTTGGAGTTAGAGGACCAAAAACTCACTAAATGAATTAAGGGAAAAGTCCAGCAGCCTAGGAAGTTAGGGCGTCCATAATCTATACCAAATACACACATATCAGTGAAATAAGTAATCTGCATTACACATTTAGGCTTAAAGATTGTTGATCATGATAAATGTACGTAAGCATATGAATTAAATCATTTAATTAGAATTATGGTTATTCAACCCAGAAAGAATGAATTAAACCAGCATTGTGAGTGGGTTTGGAAAACTCATCTGGCTCTTTATTTTTAATCAAGCCCTAGCATTTTTTCTCATCTTTTCCTATACTTGCCAATACTATAATGAATGCACCTGGATGGAGGTCAAAGGCATTGGTGACTAAAAAAGGCATGCAACCCTGGTGTTAGGCATGGCAGCCTAAGTGTTAGCTCAAAATGCAAGTATTCCAGACATTATTTTTCTATGTTAAAAATGCAAAGACAGGAAAAATAAAGCATTTTAAAACAATTTTTTAACTTTTAGAATATTGCACAAAATTCTGCTAACCTTATAAAACACCCTGAGCCCCAGTATTGTCCAGTATATTTTTAAAATTATATCCATTCTCTCCTCCCCCAGCTCTCTAATTAGTGTGGGATTTCCCCACCTCAGAATCCTGTTTATAAGACCCTATTTTACTTCAGAGTTAAATCAGGTAACTGAAATTCTGTCAGTACCAGAACATGAATAGTGCTGAAATTATGTGTGAAATTCCTTTAAAAATAAAAAATCCAGAAGACTGGGGTGGGAGGAGAGAGGGTGATTTTATTTTATAACTACAAGTAAGGGAAATTTTTGAGCATTCACAAAGTGTTTGGGAATCCTTCAACTATCAAGAACATTCATTGTCTATTTTTCGTTTAGCTTGTCCCGTGTCTGTGTGTCGTGTGCCCCCCCCCGTCCCCGTCCCTGTGTTCCCCCCTCCCATCCAAGTCATCAAGCAGGGCTGGAGTTTTCTAGACAGGAAAGAATCTTGCAGTGACTCTTTCAAGGATGTATTCGACGTTGATTTCCTTCCTTTCAGATAGAAAGAGTGGGAAGAACAGCATTATCGTGTCACTTAGGTCCTTCAAACCTTCTACAGACATGTCACTCTTAGAGAAAGGGTGATACTTCAGAAAGAGTTCCAGATCAAGAGAACTACCACTTAAGGGCAGAGCAACATTTTAAGTAGTGCCTCAGTTTAATCTGCCTGCTTAACAGGTGGTGACTCTTGCCTGTAATCTCAGCATTGAGGTTTCCTGGGGGTCATTAGGTGTTCTGATGCAACATTGTTCCAGGAGC